AACTTTTCTCCTTTCAGAAAACTGAAACTTTTGTTTTCTGATTTCTTATAAGCTGTCTGTTTGTCTACCTGGTGGTTATGTTTGATAAGTTTTATATTATTATTATTATTATTATTATTATTATTATTATTATTATTATATTATTATTATTATTATTATTATTATTATTATTATCTTTTATTCATTAAACATGAAACTCAAGTCAACTGAACATTTAAAAATGTGTCACAAATACCACTGACTGATGCCAATGATTGATACAGATTGCTGCCAGCGTCCTAGGTATCAACTAAGTATCTTCTTAAAATATATGATTAAAATATATGATAAAATGTATGATTATGATTATTACTAGTTTATAATACATAATACGAAAATTCAAAAGTAAATAGGAGGAAAATAGGGAAGAAAAAAGGGAGAGGAAAAGTATGGAGCAACAGGAAAAAAGAAATAAAAAGCATTGACTTTTGACTTCCTTTGGTGCAGTAGAATAAGTTAATAACATCAAACTTCAACGTTTTACTTTTACATAATATAAACTAGTCACTTCTATAACAAATTATTAATCGATAAAAACCAATTTTTTTTCCACCTCAAGCACAAAGTCCTAAAGTGGTTTCCAAGTAGTTAATTCCAAGTATTTGCATTTTTTTACTTTAATCAAAGCAGTCAATTTCACCATCTTTGCTAACTCCATCAGCTTTTGGAACAATTCATTCATTGTAGGAATCAAAATATCCTTCCATTTTTGTGCATAAAGTAATCTTGCTGCAGTCAACATATATAACATCAAAGTTCCAAAAAAAATTTCCAAAGTCTTTTTTCGTTAAGACCCAGAAGAAAAGTTTCTGGTTTTATCTTTATATTCACTTTCAGAATTTTCTGCATTAAGATGTGAATCCTACTCCAACATTTCTTTATCACAAAGTAATATCCAAAGTAAAAGATGGCTTCCAGGACTGACACCACCATAAATGATAAAAGATCCCTTCTTTACATTTATATTTCCCATATTCATTTGAAACATCTTTATACATTCTTGATAACTTATATGGTGTTAAATATCAATGATACATTATCTTACAGAAATTTTCTTTTAGATTATAATTTAGTGTAAATTTTAGACCTTTCTTCCACATATTCTTCCATTGTTTTAGCATTACACTGTATCCAAAGTCTCTTGCCCACTGAATCATACAATGCTTTACCTACTCATTCTCCAAATTCAAATTCAATAACAATTTATAAACCTTAGCAATAATATGTTAATCACTACTGTGCAGTAGGATTTCCAATTAATTTTTCACAAAGTCAAACCCATAACTCTTATCTACTTGAACCTTTCTTTCAATTGTAAATATGTAAACCAATGGCAGATGCGTCCTTCTGATTCCAGTTCTTCTTTGGGTTTGAGGATAGGATTACCAAAATTAAAAAATATTATTTGACCATAAATCCACCAATCTGGCTTTGCCACCATTTCCTTTCTTTAAAAAAGCTTCCTGGGGGAAACTTTACCCAGAGAGGCATCTTATTAAAAAAAACCCTTGTTTTATATTTATTCTAGACTCTTAGGATGGCACATCTAACAAAATTGTTATAAAAATCAATATTTACTTTAACCTTGTCCTACCATAGTCATGCCATCCAAATCTTAATTTGTGGCCCTCTAAATTGAATAACCTCTTATTCTAAAGATTAATCTACTCTTTTAGCCAACCAAACAGCAAGCATCAAAATACAATTTCAAGTCTGGTAAATCCAAACCACCTTTTTCCTTAGCAACTTGAAGTAATTTGTATCTAACTCTTGGGTTTTTACCCTTGCCACATACTAAACGAACTGTTGTTGAGGGCAACTATGTATCTGTGTGCATGCAAAGCTGGTTTTCTGCTGATACTGACAGAAATGTTGCATGAACTGGACAGCCATCCGAACTTTGTAAAAGATGCAACTGCTTTAAAAATTCAGAGATGCTTCTGTTTACAAAAATACACCTTATGAAACATCTCTCTAAAAATTTGCAGAGCCCTAATAATCAACCATTCTAATAACCTGACAAACCCTATGAAAAAAAGCTAAAAAATGTTATATGCAAGTACATTCTGCATATAAACAACTTTCTAAAACGATGTATCTTATTTTAACACCAATGGCACACATAACTTCTGTTTCTAAAAATGCATCCCCTGGTCACTAGAGGGTAAGGAGTGCAACTGTTTTCAAATTGCACATCTAATTTCAGAACATTTTATAATGCAGAAACAAAACTGGATGGGATTATTTATCATCAGGAAAGAAGAATAGTAACATTGTTCATAGACATTTTTAAAACTATCTAATTAATAGTTTTAGCTGTCATAAATCTCTAACAGATCCATAAAACAAACATTTTTTGGTATGAACATTCAAAAAGAGCTATATTTAATTTACATACAATTTAACTTCCATAATCCACAACTCTGTTACAGATTTCACAATGAGTGCTGGATAAAAACCAGGTGCTGGGTCTCAAAATATTGCAAATGTCTTGTTAGGTGACACTCTAAACATACAGGCCAGAGGTTTAAATCACAAAAACAAACCCTCAGGCTCTACTCATTTCCAATAAAAAACCTTTAAGTGTCTAGTGCGGATCTTGGCTAAATGTACAGATTATCTTATTTCATTTAAATTTTCAACTGTTTAAAAACTTTTTTTTATTCTGAATTAACTTTTTGTTCTGCTGTTGTGTACACATAGATCTTTATATACCATTATATATTTACAAATGTATTTAAAGATCTATGTGTACACAACAGCAGAATACATAAATTGAGCTAGAACAGTCATTCAACTATAGCAATAGAAAAAGAAGCCTAGGACATGACACAGTAGGCAATAACCTGGTTTGTAAACCTTGTCAAAATATTTTGCAAACTGTGGCTCATAGCCTAATATTATATATGAATTGAGGCACTGTGATTATTTCAGAAGCACAGCTAAGCAAGCTAACTTAGCAAAAGATAAGTCTCATAATCAACACCTTTAAAATTCATTTACAAACATTGTAAATTAGTGTTCCTTCTTGAGTTTCCTTTACAATATGTAAACCAGACTGAAATGGGGAAATAATTTATTTCACTATGAATTAGAAACTGTGAATTAGAATTTATAATTCTAATTAGAATTATAAGATAGCACATAAATGTTCATTTGATTAAATCATAATTGTATAAATGCTTAGAAAAGAAAAAAGTCTATGAGTCATTAAAGCTTTTTGAAATAAAATCACTTTTTCAAAATTACTATTTCAGGCAATATTTAGAAAACTTAAGCTTAATGTAGAATTTTATGCTAAAAATATTTAGTTCAGTCAAATCGGAGAGATTGGAAGCCTACACCTTGTTGAAAAATTTTGTCTATAGTTTTAAAAATAAATAAATCAGTCCTGTAGTCATTCCAAAGCTGTTCTCACATTATCACATATTTGTAGACTTTTACACGGAAGGCAATAAATACTATTAACATTTAAACATTTGGTTATTAAAAGGCATGTCTTCTTTAAACCATGAATAAACACTTATGATTTGGAACAGTAGATGGATGATACTCTTTCAATTACTAAACTAATATAGGGACAAGGAAGACAGCTTTCAGCTTGGCTAAATTTTTTCTGTTTATTAAAAATAGTGCACACTTTTTAAATTTTCTATTTTAAGTTTATGCTCTCCTCTAACAATTTAAACATTTGTACAATATCAAATCATGTATTTTTGTTATCCTACTGTCATAAAACAATAGATAAGTAATACAACTATGAGAGAACAGTTGACTCAAGTATCAGAGTTCCTTTCAAGAGAACTAAACCAAATACATGGAGCAGGTCTATTTTTATAGTTAAACAGAGTTAATGGTTTTAGGAATGTTTCCAACTATGAAACACCAGAGGAACATAATTACTACACTCTTCTCCAGTTGCCCATATCAGCCCAATCCAACACTACTACTCTACAGTATTTATTTTTTTATATTTATATTCCAACTGTCCTCTTAGAGGTCAAGGTAGCTTGGCATGGAAATCTCTAGCATGTTATCCGCACCAAAACAACCCCGTAAAGTTAATTAGGCAAAGTAAGTGACTAATCCAGAATCACCTAATGAGTTTCCATGGTTAAGAATGAATTGAAGCACTAGTCTCCTTCATCCTAGTCCACCAATAACTAATATGCTACATTGCAGCTACACTGCAACTCTTGGAATCCTGTAAACTATGGTGTCATGGTAACACTAAACTTGGAATAATTCCCCAATCACTGGTTAGTCTGTGCGACACAGGAGCGAGCCTAGACGGCTTCTGGGCCAAAAAAGCTCCTCCTGCTCCCCCTGGCATGCGAAACCCAGCCGCTTGCCGGGGCTCAGCCGTTGCCCCGAAGGACCTACCCTTCACTGTCTCCTGCCGCCTTAACTAAGCAAAAGACTCGCCTCCCACTTGCTCCCTTCCAGTTGCCAGCCAGGCTCCAACTCCACCCTCAACTGTCAACAGCTGAAGAGGCGGGGTAAAGGAACGCAGAAGAGAAACGAGGAGAGACCCTCCCGAGTCCAGATTTGACGGTGCTAAGGACCGCTGGCGCCTTCGTTTTGGAGAACGTCGCCTATTGCTAGTTTTTGTTAATCTCTACTTAGCTTAGGTAGTACAAACCCAGAACGGGTTGGAAGTAGTGTGGCCAGAAAAGAGCTCGCGTGCCCAGCCATTAAGAACACTATCAACCAAAATCTGCTAACCCTTAAAATGGTACTGTCTGTTGAAAATGCAAGAACCGAAGGCGGCTTTTCTTCGTCAAAACGCCATCTGGGAAATGTCCCTGATATACCCTGCTTGTTCTACCCCGCCCTGAGAAACTTGCAGCCGAGAGGAATAAAAACCGGGACAAGCCTCTCCCCGTTGCTCTTTCTCATATCTCCAACTCTTCTCCTATTTAAAAGTACGTCTAAAATGCTCCCCCTTCGAGTAGCCTTACCCGCTGGTGGGTTTGTAGTCCCCGGACTGAGTAGCCATAGTTAGTTTGAAAAGCGGCTCTTGCGCTGCCTTGAATGAAACTGCTCAACTCAATTAAATTGCAGCTGGCGGTGGGGCAGATGGCGGGCGTCTACTCTGCTGGGCCAATTGGTTGGCGCGCGGTGTTTCATTCACGCCGGACTCCCACTCTAGCTGAGTCCCAAGCTTCCTGCCTTCTCCTGTGTGAGAGCGCGGGGCGTCTAAAAAGAGGATAAGCGCGGAGTGGAAAGTTATTGCTGGCTCTCGCCTGGCATTCAGGGAGCAGCAACTAGAAAGGCAACTTCCGTCCCCGAGGCCAAGATAGAGAGGCACAAACAAGGGCAATCTCTTCGTCCCGTTGGGGAGCTGAATGTCTTGCAGGATAACAACGACTTTTTATTGTTGCGTTTGCGAGGCAGGGAAGCTATGCAATATTTATAGGCAGGTGTTTTCTTTCGGAGGCCCAACGAACCGGATGTGTTGTCTCAACAAATTAGCGTATCAGGAGCAACTGCTGATTATTAAAGCACCAGAACATACTCCGTGTGTAGGTATCGACCAAATTATTTGTAAAATTGTTAGAGATAGAGTAAGCACAAGACTGGGTGCGTGATATTAAAACGTACACAAATGGTTTGTATGATAGCTCTTCGGCTGCACTAGTGTAACATACTCTCCCATTCCGCTGGGTAGGAATTCTTTTCTAAAGACAGAGCTGTTAAATAATGCCGAACCGGCATTCATAATCTTGGATCTGAAATGGAGAGCAGAGCTGTAGCACCTGTTAGAGAAGCTAAACTTTGGGAATAGTACAAGCTGTAGTAAAATGGTTACAGTTACTCGCCGACAATACTGTCCTCCAAAGCTCACTTCAAGCTCCAATACCGCTTTGGCTCGTGCAAAGGGCAGGTTCTTCGCCGTGTTATAATATAGAAAATTTAGACGAAGGCTGGGGAGGTGGAGCGAGCAGTGTATTAAGTGACTGCCCGGAGCGAATGCAGCAACCGAAGAATGACTACAAGGTCGAGTGAGGAAGGGAAGCGGCGCCGCACCACATTTTTGTCAGTGGTTATCGGCAAAAGCGGGCTTGCGAACAAAAGCAGACCGCATACCTGCCACCGTCAGAGAAAGGATTTTGCTTACATAATCAAGAATCCGAAAAGTCGATTTCTGCCTCGAACGTGTTTCTAAAAAGAAGCCCCATTCCTTTCGTAAATGCTGAATCCCAGTTTTAAATTTCCCGGGACTGTTGTGAAATACTGTAATGAAAGCTTGGGGGAGGGGAGTTTTCTTTTTTTGAGGGATGAATATATAAATTCAGAGTCCTCCTCTCATGTAAACAAGATCAGAGCTTGTCTTTATATAGCCACAGTCTTTGTTTCAAAATAATTTTACAAACAAAGGTGATGGTGTTTTGGGGTTACTACACTGCTATAAGAGACTCTCAGAGGTAGTAGCCCCATTAAAATTGCTTATATTTTCATAATTTCATAATTTTCATCTTTTGCAAATCTCTCAATCAGTTTATTATTTAATTCTGTGTAAAGTTAAATGGTCATATTTTATCTCTTGAGCCTCTAGCTTTTAAGAATGGGAATCTATCAATAAAGTTAAACCAATATTTAAGAAAAACAAGGCTATCTTTCAATATAAAGGAATGTCCCGTTTGTAGTGATGTATCTGATATTGCCTTCATAACGTCTTCGTGTACAAATGGCAATCACTGCAGCAGAATGAAGAGCTGGCAAGTAGACCAGCTCTTTGTACTTCCTCTCTATACAGGAGGACAATTAAGATTGCCCTCAAGTACTTCAAAAAGGTGTTTCTTGTGAGTAAACTGTAAAACAGCAGTGTCATCTGGATTAGAGCCCTGGAAAATGAGAGAAAGCCATCGTTCAAACTTTTAAAAGGGCACCACATTTGTATATTTCTTTTTCCAATAGTTTTTGGAATTAACTGATTTTCAGCTATAAGGAACCTTTGGATCAACAAGTTTCATGGTACCAAGAAAGTGTCCATTAATCCTTAGCAAAATAAATTTTAAATACAAGTTTAAAGACTTAAAACGGGGGTGGGGGTGGGGTGAGGGGAGGGAATAAACAGCAAAAGAGTGATTAGATCATTTATTTTGGAAAATTACAAAACTGACTTAAGGGTTCAGAATGGATTTGAAATAGGATTTTGGTATTAATTGTAAGAATTCTTCCTATGGGAAAATGCTTTTGTTTTGAATTCTTTAAAAAAGATACTTCAAGATTTTGAAGACTGGACACAGAGAACCAAAAGAAACTGAATTATAAAGGGAAGAACACTTAAACTGAACTACTAATACAGAATGGAGCAAAACTATTTTGCTGTATTAGACTGCGTATAAATATTATTAAAGAGAAACAAATATTACAGGACAAGATTTAGTTTGATCTGGAAGTAGATTTTAAAATAACTGGTAGTAAGAATCATACAGAAAAAGTGCTTCACTGAATATTCAATGAAACTGGCTAATATCTTAATAATTAAAACGAGTATACAAATAATAAAGAAATAGCCAGGGTGTGCAAGAGGTGTTGCTTGGGTCTGGAAGGGTGTGCAGGGTACATAATAGAAATAAGAGTGCGTTTATTCTATTAGATAGAAGTGAGAACTGAGTATATCAGGAAAAAAATAAAAATAAATTGAATGCAGTTGCTTTAATGCAGGGATGTCAAACTCGATTTTATTAAGGGTCACATCAGGGTTGTGTTTGACCTCGGAGGGGGGGCAGGGGTATGTGGCCAGCTCAACATCACTCGTTGAGCCTTCATTTTCGCTTTGTGTGTGCGGAAACTAAAGTGTTTAAAAATGAATGGTTCCTGAATTAAAATGGATTAAATACCAGTTAGAGGTTACCATAAAGAAGAACATTGGGATGATTTGGTCAAAGAGAATAAGTGAGGAATTAAACTATAAAACAGAGACAGCATATTACAGAAGAATTATCTTGGAAGAGAAGGCCAATGATGTTGTGATTGGATGGAGTGAATGAGATCCTCAAGACGAGAAAGCCACATAAGAAAAGCAAAGGACAATATACTATGAACATCCTAGAAGTCAGAATAGTTTCAAGGGCAAACACTGAATGGAAAATATGGAAAAGACTAAATAGTATGGCGGTGAGTTCGTTTTACCTACATTGCCTTTCCTTTTTATTATTTCACTCCTTTAATTTCTTTTAGTATTTCTTGTTCTGTTCCCCAGGCATCTGGCTCCACTGGGAACAGGCAGATAAACTCTAGCAAACAGGTTTTCATGCAGATTATATTTATTTGGGAATCCTTGAACACATAAGACTTACAATCATAGTGAGTCCAGGTGAGGTGCATCCATATTTCATAATCTGTCCCATTTCCTAGTGTAAAAGGATGGTAGTTCTGACTCCCTGTTCAGAAAGCATGTTCTCTCTTCTGAGGTAATTCAACATATGGCCAGGTCTTTGTTCTAAAATCCCGGCAGAGAGCCTCAGTGCCAATAAGACTTACAATCATAGTGAGTCCAGGTGAGGTGCATCCATATTTCATAATCTGTCCCATTTCCTAGTGTAAAAGGATGGTAGTTCTGACTCCCTGTTCAGAAAGCATGTTCTCTCTTCTGAGGTAATTCAACATATGGCCAGGTCTTTGTTCTAAAATCCCGGCAGAGAGCCTCAGTGGCCAATCAGATACACAGATAAGGTCACATGTCATGGACTACATTTCCTATAATGCAATCTCTCACTACATCTCCCACAATGCAATCTCTTAAGGAGACAGCTCTTAATTCTTAAGGTAACTAACTCACCACAACTCACTATCTGTCACAGCACACTCCCCGCCTGGAATTATAAATTCCACTACTAACTAACTACTTAATTGAGATAAACATAGGCATAGCAGAAAATAATGCAATGTAACTATCTACGTAACTAATTAACTAAGTACCTGACTGAGATAACCAAAGGCATAGCAGAAACAATGCAATGTGGCTATCTAAGTGACTAAAGTAAACAAGGTAATAGCATCAAACAATGCAAACAGTGAAGTGGACACGATTCATGCAAAGCTTGAGGTTCAATCTTGAAGGTCTTCTTCCATGTCGGTGACTGGTCTAGAACTACTTGGTAGAAGTCAGGGGGGGTCTCGTAGCCGGTTGATACAAACAGGTCCTATGATGGCCCATCCAAGGTCTGTCTTGAGGGCACACAGAGAGCCTGCTGGGCCTCTGACCGCTTCCTGGGGAGGGAAGGCTTCGGGGGCGGCCGCACCCAACAAGAGCAGGATTTCGGCTTCAGGGTCTAGGGAGGGGAAGAGATTGGCTATGTGTCTCAGGTGAGGTATATTGCTTACTACCTCTGGTGTTGCGATTTGACTGCGGTTGTCTGGTAAAGTGTCATATTCTAGCAGTGGTGGCAATGTGAATTTAGCACTCCCATCTATTGATTCTATGCAGAATTCGGTAGCTCTCCTCCCCGCCGTTCGCTGTACCCCCATACATGTTGACATTGTGAAGTGCGTTTCTTTGGATTGAATGTTAAAGCGGTCGAAGAAAGCTGATTTGGCCAACGATTGGTTGCTCTGCGCATCCACTACCACATACATTTTCACTGCTTCTTCTGGGTGTCCAGCTTCATAGACTTTAGCTAGGCAGATCGGGTGGCATGAATGAGGTGATGGTGAGTCTCCGCATACTGAAGTGCAGTTGACACTTGTCACTTCTGGGTGTGTTTCATTGTCATTCTGAGACTCATTAGTCGTAGGAGAGGTAGAGGTCGACCGTGGAGTGGGAGTCGCTGTGATGTCGACTCATGCTCTAGATGCAAGGCGGTTGGGTGCTGGTCACTTTTGCATAGATAACATAGCACCTTAATTGTGCAAGTTTTGGCCATGTGGTCCGTAGACTCACAGCATTTGAAGCAGACCTTGTACTCCCTGATCAGTGCCTTTCTTTCGCCCAGGGACTTCTTTCGGAATTCTCTGCACTTATTCAGAGAATGCGAGCTCTTGTGCAGTGGACAAACAGGTTCTTCCTTCGCTTTCTGAGGTCGATGTAGAGCACTCTTAGACGGCTTTACATCAGAGTTCCTTGTTGACAGGGGAACGACCTCTGTGCTATGCACTGACACAGAGGCTGTTCCTCTTGCAGCCTGCACTGGGCTCTTGATCGGGGAGGCTTTGATTGGTTTTTCTGCTGGCATAGGTTCATCGTATTGTAAAACCTTTATTTCGTGGATCATTGTACTTCTTCGACATGTGGGCAACAAATTCTTGAAGGGCGGCGAAGGGTGGTTGATCGGACCAAGGCTT